GGTTAAGGGTTAGGTTAAGGGTTAGGTTAAGGGTTAGGATTAGGTTTAGGGTTAGGTTAAGTGTTAGGATTAGGTTTAGGTTTAGGGTTAGGTTAAGGGTTAGGTTAAGGGTTAGGTTAAGGGTTAGGTTTAGGGGTTAATTTTAGGTTTAGGGTTTACAGCATGCTTCTGTCTCCGCGCTGTTGTCGCCCTGTTGATGACATCAGCGACGCGGTTTAGTCGGGCGCGGTTTAGTCGAGCGCGGTTTTGTCAGTGAACCGAAATATACACACACACCCATGCACTCTGATATATTGAGAAATATGCATGCGTTACATAGAGAGAGGGGGCCTCTACGAAAATCAGGCCCCATAAACTAATCACTGTATCTTTTATTATTATTATTTTTTTCAGAGAAAATGCTGCTCTCCTTAGGAATGTTGAAAGGCCAGGCAAAGGAAGAAAGTGAAAGGAAAAGGCAGCAAATCAGGTAATTTAATGTAATTTATCTAACAAATTGACTTTTGGTAAAACTGGTGTATGTATGTATGTATGTATATGTATCTTCGTCTGTATGTATGCATGTGTTGGTATCAAAGAAGGAAGGAGCATTGCGTATATTTGCCACCTTGAGTTATTTATAATAAATAAGTATAAATAATTAAGCCTGGGGATAAACAAAACGTACACGAATAGAAGGATGTTCATTTGCATCCATGTATATGTATGTAGCTTTTGCAAAATCCTGCATGCTTTTGAGTAAAGTAATCAGTTGTGTATCCCACTTCGGGCACAGCACAAAACTCTCATTTTTAAAGTGGAAAACCCATCCTGCAAAATTCATTTTTCTAAAAAAAATGCAAATAATCCGGGTGCCGTTGCGCATTTTAGAAACCAAAGCACGCCAAAAGGTGGATAAGGGATAAAGGATGGGCTAAGGATAAGGATAAAACCACACCCTTTGCCCTTTTAGAAACTGCTGACGCGGAAACGGAGGAGGCAGGTGAGTGAAAACCGGCAAAACTCACATCGACCGTTCCCTGACGGGGGAAAAAAGCATTGCCCCGTTTTTTATCTAGAATTAAGTGATGGGTGGAAGGATCCAGAACCAGCTGAAGCCTGGCCAGCTAGTTTTCACAAAACCGCCAAGTCAGCAAAATATGAACAAAAACAAAAATAAAATGCCCATCAGCAATTCATAAAGTCTTACTCAGATATCTCCTTCTGCCTTTAGCGTGCTCCATTTATGAGAAGGCTACAGGCCACCCAACAAC